TTCATGAGAACCCATTGAAGTCTTTGTTGCTCAAATGTTTTATGATAGCATTTCCAGACCTTAGTTCTTGCACACTATACTTGTCAGAATTGTGGCTTGTTGTTTCTGGGCAAATAAACTCACATTATCTTTTATGTGATTCCTACAGAAAGTGTGAGAGCTACTAGAGTACTAATGGTTTGCTCGTGAGCTTTTCTTATGCAGAAGGTACCCATGGCCTTTTCCTTTCCCTCATGCACACTGTAACACTTGTTAAATAGAGGTCAGTCGTCCTAGAATTTTCTCTCAGCTGCCCTATAAATAATAAATAATAAACAAAGCTGCATGAAGCTAGGCATGAAGGATACTGGTGGTTTGCCATTAATCTTTCAAGCAGTAGCCAGCTATATCCTGTCAGTTGTTGTGTGGTTTGCTAGATATATTTTATAGTTGTCTTACTGGATACCTTATGTATTCACATTGTGTGGGGACAATTAAAGCTCACTTCAGGTGAGAGGCTTGTGTGTTTGGTGACAGAGACCATCTGAAGGATATACAGTCAGCTACCAGTGCAGCTGACCTGGATTCTTAACATTTGTTATGTTTTTCCAGACTTTTGCCAGAGACCATAGATTTTGCAGTTTCCTATTTCCAGCCTGGTGCCAAGTGCTGTGCTATTCAACTACCTCTCTCAGCAGAGAACCAGAGTTATGAATCCGTATGCCATTGCTTCCAACTGCAAATATCCTAACATAGTGGTTTTCAGTCTATGGTGCACTGATGCAGAAATCAGACTCTGCGGTCTGTGTCTATGTGGTAAAGAAATATTTGAGAAATTAAATTCAAAAGAGAACAGCTCACTGTTCTGAGCCAAAGATGCCTCAAAAAAAAAAAAAAAAAGACTGGGCCTTCATATGTGAAATTTATCACACTGTTCGAATCTTTAGCAGAAAATACCAGGTGAATTGAAAATTGAAAAACCCTTACCAACCACACCAGTGTTCTTCCTGCTTGATATTTTGGGTGATTTTTTTTTTGGTGGTTTGGGGTGACTTTTTTTTTAATTATTTGTTTTGGTTGCTGACAATATGACAGTATTCTGCTTTTGGTCTAATATCTTAGGTGTTGACAAATAAATAGAACTGTCTATTCTATAAACAGTGGGGGTAGAGCCCTGCTGAAGACTCTCAGCAGACCCCAGTGCCCCACTGACCTTGATTCCACTCTTCCTGAGACAACTTTGCTGCAGCTGAGCTGAACAGGAAAATAGCAACAGGACTGTAAGGTATGTCTGTGACAGAGCAGCTGTCAAAGTGCAGCACTATGCGTTGTGTATTTCTCTGTAGATCTGCCAAGAGCTGGCACACTGAATAGATAAATCTATGATTCTTAGAGCAATGCGTCACAGTGACCTCGGACAAAAGATCTCTGAGTCGAAGTGTGGCAGCTGCTGCAACCCTTTGCTTTCCAGGCCCCAGATCTGTTTTAATGTATTTCACGGGGATATTTGTGTAACCCAGAAGCAGTCAGAAAGAGACAGGGTTTCTGCTGGTACATGAACTGAACTCTTGTTTATCATTTGGACAAATCCTACATTTGGATAAGCCTTCGGACATGGTATCTTAAACTATAGTAGATCCAGTGAAGGCAGAAAGAGGCCATCTGGACTCTGCAGGTGAGATTTAGCTATGAGCCAAAACTAACATAAATCTCAGACTTATGCCTTTCTTTGGAATTTCAGCAATGCTTTGCAGAGCCAGCTCCAGGCTTCTTGGCAATGCCGGCCAAAGAAATAAATAATTTTGAAAATGCCTCCTGCCAGAGGGCAGAGCTAGAGACAGGATGGACTTGTAATTGAGAAATGTGGGGAGCTGCTCTCACTTCTGTCAGAAGGGCAGGGGGTGGCCATGCCTACTGCTGCCAGACATCCTCCCCAGCATGCTCTCTGGCTTTGCAAAGGGAGCAGAAACAGGAAACTGGCTCCAGCAAAGCTGCAACTGCCAAGGATGTTGTGTCACTGCCCGCGGTTACTGCCAGGCTTTGCTCACAGTCAGCGAACCGAGCTGCGCCAACTTGGAGACAGTGACTCTCACAAGGGTGAATTTCACCCTCCCCCTACTCAGGTGATCTTCCTGCATGGCGCATGAAGGGATTTTGCAGCATTGAGCTTTAGTTTGTGTTTTAAGCTTGGGTTTTGCTGTTGATGGGAAGCGGCTTTTCCTCTTCAGTTTTGTCATTCTGTAGAACAACTCATGGCCACCATCTGTGTGGGCACAGATACTGGACCATGGCTTACTAGATCTGAGCTCATTTCCTGCACCAAGCCACAGATTTTATGCATGACCTAAGGAAGTTACTTCAACTCATCCAGGTTCAGGTATCATTTCTCCACTTGTATGAAGCTTTCAGCTTCAATGGAGTTTGTTATAATAAGCCCACTTAGATGTGAAGGTCTAACAGCAGAAGCCATGGTTAACTTGCAGTGCAACCACTGTTGGTTTCACTGGAAGCTGCTACAGGTTTAAAAATTGCGTCCCTCTGATTTTTCCCACATAAATTCTAGAAGAGACTAGAGCCAGAGACTAGAATGTGGGCCACTGACAATTTAGTAATAATGTTTCTGTCCCTCCTTGCTAGGATCAATGAAACTCAAATGGTGCAAAATTTACCAAGGCAGTTGAGCTGTCAGCACTGAGTGGCAATTCATAGGACTAACACTAAAATAAAGTTTGTAGGGGTTTATTATTCTCAATATTAAAGCAGACAAGTAGTAGAATGTGGGTGCCTGAGGCTGTGTGACACTGAGAGCAACTGGAAGATGTGTCTCGGGCAGTGGGCCAGACTGGTGGTGTTGTGGCCCCTTGAACTCATTAGGTAAGATGTTTGTGGTTTCCCGAGATATCTTGTTATCACATTGTTTTCTTTTCCTCTCTTCTGGCTGGATGGGATTCTCCCTGCCTCTCCCCTGTTCCAGCTGCAGAAGCCATATTCTTTGCACATACAGTATGTGTCTTGGAGGTGAATTGTCCTTTCCTCTGTGCTGCTGGTGACAGGAAAATCTCTGTCCCTCAGCAGAGCCATGCCAAGCACATCTTCCTGTTAGCTCCTTCAGCACAGTGCATGCTTGTGGGTAGGGAGGTCATGTGTATGTGGCCAGGGAAGAGATGAGGAGCTTTGGACAGGGGGCTTGGGTGGAAGCCACCTCCTTGGCTTAGAAAATCCTGCTCATTTCTCCACCTTTGTACCCTTTGTGCTGATTGAGTTGATGCAGAGCAAGATTCTGTTTAGCTATACCACTGGCATTGCTGAAAGGATGGTAATGCCTGTCTTATCCAAATAATTGTGCCTACACATAAAATGTAGTGGTTTTGGTCTACTTCGCTTTTCACGAGCTGTGTCTATTAAAAAAAAGCTAAAGGAAACTTATATGGGGGCAAATATGTTGTCCTCATGATGCAAAGAATCATCTTGTTTGCTGACTCAGCTATTTGTGGCGGAGGGAAAGAGAAATGATTCCTAGCCAACAAATGATTTCTAACAAAATCTAAATTTTAAGGAACTCTTTTTGCCAGTGCCTTTCATACTCCCCACAAATTATGCTGTAGATGTATCTTATTTTATGAATAGGAAAATTTCCTTATAGAAAGATTTCCCCTCACTCTGTGATCAGGGTGGAACAGAATCCAAGCTCTTCTGAAACCTTTTGTATGTGCAGCCCCCTTGGTGAGACTATTTAAGCAGACAGCATCATAAAGCATCCCTAGAAAGGGGATTGTTGTTCCTATTTTAAAAAATGTATTATTATTTGGGCATTTCAATTACATCCAGTGTGAGCAATGTTTTAGAGGCCAGACTTTATGAACGCCCTTGCATTAATTCTCCAAACACAATTGTGTTGTGTTCAGATATGCAAAAGAGGAGAAACTCATATTCAGGAATTGCATTTGAAAAATTTGAGTCATGTTGGACATTCATAGAAATAACATGAAAAGAAGAGTTCATCTTTTAAAACTGGAATAAAAGCCCTTTTTGAGTAGTGTTTTGAAAACATCTTTAGAATGGACAAGGCAACCCTGGCAAAATGCTGTCTGTAAAAAAAGAGCAAGTCAGATAATAATCTATTGCTCTTTTTTATGAGAGGTATATGCTGGGTAAGTAGAAACAAAATGAACCACAGAATTATGCCTTTATGGCATCAGAAATGTCACCCCAAGGAAATTAAAAACTGCACACAATTGTGAGTGTTAATCCCTGCCCTGGACGCTACAAAAAGACCCCTGAGTTTCCCTTTGGCAGGACTTCAATGTCTTGATTTTTTGTGTGCGCACAGCAGTGCCCCAGTTGGCACATCTGGGTCTGTGCTCTGTCTGTACCTGCTCAGCAGGAATGTAAACATGGCACAGACACTGCTGCCTTTAGCTGCGTGATCTCCTCGCATCGGCCAAAGGGAAACGACAGCAGTGTTTCTTCCGTCTCTACACTGTGTGTGCGTGTTTTGTGGCTGAAGAAGGAAATGGTACTTTTTGCAGGTGAGCTAAAGAACAGAGAATGAAATCCTCGTGACTCAGAGAAAGGAGAAGTAACATAAAGCAAAGGTTAAATCTGCAAAAGTGCCATTCATTCACTGTTAAGCTAAGGAAGCAATAGAGAAAGACTCCCAGACAGATAACGTGACTGCAGCCACGTTATATTGGCTTTTATTTGTCTTGCCTGGTTAAAGCTATCATGCTACACACATTGCACAAGAACTGATATGGAAAGGTCAGCTACATTGCTTAGGTGAGAACAGAGCAGCACGAGGTATTTCAGCTTGTTGCAGAGGCCTACCAGACAAGGGAACTGCTGAGAGTTTGCAAAGAACCCATCCCCTCAGAGCTCAGTAACGTGTCTGGGATTTTGCTAAATCTACCAGTGTTTCTTGCCTGAACTGTGCCCTGATGTTCAAAGGAAGGTTCTGAGTAAGGACATCTATTGTCTATTTCTAATTCTGGCTACTAATTTTGAAAAAAATTGCTTTTCCGTGTCTGATTTCTCAGTAATTTCATAGTACATATGTGAATACATGTATGCGGTCATAAAAAAGACTTTTGTAACTCTTGGCAAAGAGCCTTTTTTCTTATATAACTTGGGAGATGCCTGTGGAAGAGCTGGAAATGTATCATGTATTCATTGTCCATTGAAGAGAGGAGTACTGCAGGAAATACAGCTACCAGCTTCTGCTTCACAGTTCTCCACCATGCCAGTGCTATGGCAGTAATTAAAATGACAGATAAACAATGTTCACATTTGTTCTCCAAGCCCAGCAATGGGGAAGCTCTGAACAGTTCAAGTTAGAGCTGCATGAACGGTGCTGACCCTTGCCTAGACCACTTCATCTGCCTTGTGGGAGGGTGATGTAGTTGATTATTATTGCAATTTGGAACATGGGGTTTGTTTAAAGCAGGATTAGTGAGGAAAAAAAACACCATGTACTTCTCCAAGCATACTCCTGCTCCTGCAACGACAAGAGAAATTAGCTTCTTTTCAATGGGAATCCTGCTGCTTATTTAATAGCAGGTGGGATTAAACCCTGCAATAGGTCAAAGTGGGAGGATCTGGAGTGTCATTGAGGACATATCTAAGCATTTACTGGTGTGGTGTCCAGGTTCTCTATGCACCACCACAGTGTTTTGTTTTTGAGAGCGTGGGGAGGATTAGATAGCACGTGCAGCCTGGTTTCTTCAGTATCAACAAGAAGCAACTCATCTCATCCTGTCAGGGGGAGAGCAGTTGGTGTAATTTATCCAGCAGAACAGCTGATTTTGTGAAATGTATCTGAGAATTAGTCAAACAGACCAAGAGTGAGTACAGCCTGCGGTTTAATGACAGCTGAGCAAAGGTTCTCATTGTACTAACAACATCCTGTGTCTCCGTGGCAGTGATGTGGTGTATGCACACGTATACTCCTTTGCAGTCAATAACTTCTCATCAGATTTTTACACCGACTGATTTGACTGTTATTTAACAACTGTGTTTTCCTCTTCCTGCCTTGCATTTATTTTTGTTGCTGTTGTTGCAGAAGTAAAATAATCTCAGATATTCTGAGAAATTCTTCACAGTGCTGCTAATGTTTTGCTTGATGTTTTGCTGAAAGAGGTTTTGCAGGGACTTTTTAAATGTCACACCTGTTCTCAAAGTGCATTTACTTAATTAGCGTACAGTGCTGGATGGGATTCAGTACCTACGCATGTACCAGCTAGGTACGAAGCTGCATGGCTTGTCAGAGCATACCTGAAAAAGAAACATGAGCTCAGCTTCCTCTAGAAGTGTGGCAAGCTCTGATGATATGGGAGATAGTACAGCAGGATGATACCTGTGGCAAATGATGGGCACAGGTTCTGGTTGGTGGCGCCAAACAAAAGAGGAAATCTTCTTTTCTGTGCAAAAAATCCTCTTACATTTGGTGACCTTTCCTCCTGAATAAAGACAAAATCAGTATTGCTAACATCTCCTATAATGTTTGATCTTTTCTCATGTCCTTTACTCCTTTTAGACTTCTTACACATAACTATCATGTTATGTAATATATTTTATATTTAGCATACAAATGATGAAACGCAGCTTTTCCCCAGTGCCTTTTATTCTAGATATCAACATGCTTAATCAGCGAGATCACCTATCATCCCCATTTAAAAGGCTGGGAAACAGAAAAACAAAAATAGAATGATGTGCCACACAGGCCAGAAGTGCAGTGGCAAAGTCCTCAATAGAATTTAGGTATCATTAGTTGTAGCCCAGTGATCTCTTTGCTAGGAAATGATGCCTCCTTATTTTATAGTACAAAAATATAAAAACATAGAGCAACAGCATTGAAAATATCAGAAAAGGCTTGAAAGAAAGCAATAGAAAAATGTAAATTCACAAAATAAATTTGGAAACAAAATGTTTTTTGAATAAAAAGACAAAATGATCTGCTCAAGTAATGACTTTCACATTCCACTGTGCTTTTTTTCCTAAAACAATCCGCGATTCCCATAGATTCCTCTATACCCTGAAACCCAATACTGATAGAACTGTATTTTTTTTCCATTGGAAAAATAATTTTTTGGACTATTTTCACTTGCTTTAGAGGAAGAAAAGGAAAGTATGTAAAGGCAGCAGGACTGCTGGAAGGCTGGTAGTTTTTTCTTTTTCTATTTTTTTCTTTTATTTTGTGATGTTTACGAATGTGCTGTAGGCTTAGTTTGTGCTTCATTTTATCTGACAAATCATAACTGATGCAATATGATTTAAAAGTCTCCGCCATCATGCAGAAATTACAGTTCTCTCCCCAGGGACCTTCCCCAAAACATAAAGCAGAGCCTTCCTCCTCATTAAAACATTTTGTTGTGTGAAAAATGACAATGAGCCGTAAAATCTGGAGGGAAATGATTGCTGCACGCTAACATATGCCCAACAATTTCAATACCAGAGCGCGTGGAGACTGGCAGTTGCACTTCAAAATGAGGAAATGAGCTTCTTGATCTTGTCCGGATGGAGGGCAATTTGGAAGGACACTGCAAGCAGAGCAGTTGGGCCCTGAAAGCCTTTTTTCAACAGAGCAGCAGGATATCCAGCAATCAGCAGTACGAAGGTACCAGTTTGTTTTGTTTGCAAAACCATGTCTTACTGTCCCTTCGCTATTCCTCCTACATTTTTCTTGAAGCTGATGAGAATAATTGTCGCTGTTATTATTATGTACAAAAACGGCTCAGAAAGAAGATAAAGGTTGCCTACGCAGGCACTCAGAAGTTAGAAAATAATGGGATTACTGTTGCCTTGACAACATTTCCCTCTCCTTCCCCTGCCCCCAGTCTCATTCCAGGAAATGGCTGAGGCACTTCGCTGAAACTCTGCAAAATAATTAAATAAAAGATTCAGCCAAAGAGAGACACCTGGTTTGGAAAACTTCCCCCTTCACGCATCTGACAACATGATAAACAGATGAAAAGCAGGATTTTTTTGAACAGAAGAAGAAAGTAATGCCGATTGTACTAGTAGCTCCATCTGCATTTTTTTTGTTATTTTGCTTTAATTTATACTACATCCCTGCAGGCTGTTTTTGGAGCTCATCCCTTTGTTCTGCAAGGCACTCATCATGTACACAGCAACAGGAGGGGGCTTAGTTTCTTGCTGCTGTTCATGGAAGGAGGACTTCCCACCCCAAGAAAGAGAAGACCAGGTGAAACTTGAGAAGGCTGCGATGACACTGGAGGCACAGCTTCAGGGCTTTTAGCACTGTGCGTCACACTTGCCTGACCCATGACCAACCTGCAATGTTGTGCCTGACGTATGGAAAGAGCTCTGCTTCTCTGGAGAGCGTCACAGAGGCTGCAGGGGTCTGGAGCTGGCAACCCCCTGGGGCAGGCGACAGCACCCTGTGACACCTGGTGCGTCATCTGCAGCTGAGCTCCCAGAAAGGTCAGGCAGGAGACTGATAAATGACCCCGCCTTGTCAACACTGCTGTCATTAGTGCTGTTATCACCCTGCAAATGGGAACATGAAGGAATTTGTATCCCTGCCCTTGCCAAAGCTGGAGAGCAAGTGGGAACAGGAGCTGTGGAGGTGACTGTTCACACCACTTACATTCTCCTGCAAAGCAGCACAATGTTTGGTTTGTAACCAAAGGGATTTTGTAGCTGATCATTAAACATCATTTCAGATTGATGGAACGTAGAGGTTCTCTGATGATGACAAGGTTTGTTTCAAAGGGACAAAACACTTCAGCATGCACTGGCATGGCTAGAAAGCCCAGATATGCTAACTAACAAATCGCTGGCCTGGTGGAAAGCCCAGATATGCTCTCATATCCCTTTTCTAATGTAGGTGGACAAACACATATCCAAAAGTGGCAGGTAATGTAGCCTGCACTGGAAATGGGCCCACCTGGCCACGTTGATTTTGACAAGTAATTTGACAGCACTGTTAGTGCTGTTAGTGGCAGGAGCAGTGTGATTTACTCAAAAGTTGAGTACTCTGGAAAAAAAAAAGAACCACAACTAAATTTGCATGTAATGAGGTGCATTTTAAAATCAAAACAATTAACAGCTATGTTATTTTTTCTTCCTTTGCTTTTGCTTGGTGCACAGTCAGTCCTGTTGCTTAAGATTCCTGTTGAATCCCTTTTGGTGGGAATCTGATGTGAAGCAGGGAGCCTGGCAGCCCCTCCAAGTACTTCCATGTACAACAACACTGTACAGCAGTGTTGGTGGAGTTTTGTCAGCACATGGGAGACATAAGGGGCTGGCCAATCTGGCCCATCAAGTCCTGGTTTGCAAACTCTGCTCAACTAAGGGATACCAACAGTTGGATCCATAGGTCCTGACTGGTCTGTTTGTGAAAATTATCTAAAGTGACAAGCAAGGTCACTCACAACTGACTCATATAAGGTGACTGGCTCATTCTTGTATGGGGTGTGCTGGGTGTTACAGCTATTTGTGACCTCAGACTGAGCACTGTGGCCTTTTGGTTCAGAAACATATTGTTCAATGAGACGTTCTGTGAATTTGGTAACCTCAGTATTCTATGAGAAGTGTTTGATTTTACAGGAGAAAGCCTAAGGACATTTGAAATGTCTTGTTTCTGCAAATCTGAGCCAATTTCTTCTCATCAGGTAACACCTGGTGCTTTTGTCAGTGCTGAGCAGCACTTTACATTCTATACTCTAAAATCTTTGGATCAGTTATGCATGGATGCAAGAAAATAAAACCCCATTGTATATCTTTGCTCACTATCTGTCCTCTGTCCCCGTCATTCTAACACACACATTTCAAAAGAAGACAGTGCTCTGCTTTCCAGTCAAAATATTAAAGAATGCTTCTATCTGTCTAGAATACTTTATTTATAAATATGAGAATGTTAGGTAATGTGAGATATGCTACAGACTGCAGCTTGCGTAATACAAAGGAGCAACCTCAGCAGAGCAGTCCAGATGTGCACTGGCTAAAAATCTGGCCTATAAAATGGTGGTTAATAAACACAGAATAATTTATCAGGTATTCGGCTAGGAGCACCAGGCTGCTAACAGCTGTGAAGTGAAACTGGTTGTTCTCAACTCAATACATACGTGTACTTTCCTGTACATTCACACAGAGAGCTGGATAGTGGCTCTATAGGTGGCCAAAACACAAGCTTTCTCCAACAAAGGGGAATAATCTGTGATGGAATTATCTCTGGTATTGGTATTCCGGCTTCCCTCCAACACTGTTTTAGATTTGAAAGCATAATGCAGACTGGTCTTGAGAAAAGACTATTTTTGCAACAGAACAACACATGAAAATCTAAATTGTGCTGGAAATTTGGGAGCAAAATGCATTTAATCAGGACATATAGCCTGGGAAATGCTCTCTGTTGTATTTCACAGCAATGAAAGCTTTTCTTGATTTAATTTGTGTGTAGTGGAGCTTCACCAGAAAGATTACAGGAAGTATTGAGGCAGATTTGCAGCTGAGACATAGGTGTAGAGGGATTTTCAACCAGGATATCACTAACAAAAATGTTTTGGCTAAAATTATTTTCTCTTACTGTGACTTCTATCAGGGAAGACAGCAGTGCAGCACTGTCAGGGCACCCAACAGCACAGAATGCCACCACAAAGGAAAACAGTATTTACACTGGAAGGGAAAAATGATTTAATGACCTGGTTTAAAACAGAAAACAAGTTGTCACGTTCTGTTCTTTGAAAGTAAAAATGATAAGAGCTTTGATGAGTGGACACCATAATAAGGGCCTTGGTTTTATGTCTCGTCCAGGTGCAGCTCATCACCCTATACAGCCAACCATCCATCTCAATACAGTGCAGTCCTTTTTTCATCCTGGATCACAGGAAGGGATGTTGCCAAGCAGGGATCTTGGTCCCTCTGATGCATGCTGTTATTACTCCTGGACAATATTTTCTTCCTCTCTTTTTCTGTTTCTTTCCTGCTTTTACGTTCATCAATCCCTTTTTTACATCTAGCTCAAACTGTCTTCCCAGTGATGCTGTAGGTGGGACGCAACGCTCATGAGGCAAAAGGAACTCTGGGTCCCCCACAGGACAGGACCAGAAAGGCAGAGGGGCAGTGTTCCTACTCTCTGGTGCCACTGCTCAGGGATGTCCCTGGTTTCTGCACTTGTATCTAAATCCACACTGGAGGCTCCAAGTCCGAGCCCAGTCACTTCTCATGGGGTTGAAATCATTGAAGTGCACATTTCAGTATTGTTGGGATTTGGGAACAATTACCCATCTGTTGTTAAATCTAATAGCAATTCTGTTTCACAGTCTGTTGTAATTTACACTCTGTTTATTATCACAACTGAATAAATGACTCTGGCAGGTCTTTGAACTCCCAGCCCTTTGTTGCCTCTTCCCAGGTGAGAGGCAGTTACCTGCCATATAATTGTTCTTAAAGTGTCTAAGAGCAAAGTCACACAAACTTAAATTGCTGCTGAAGGTTTGCTTGTCTGACTTTGTCCACAAAGGGGTGTGTGTGTTTGTACAGCAAGTCATGCCTGTCAGCTGGGAGGAAGTAAACACCTGCTGGGAAACAATTGGAGCAGATTTTAAGCTTCTTTTCTACTGCTCTCACCATGTGGCTGCTCCAGATCCATGTTGGTGCAAGGTCAGCAAGGCTGGATTTGATCAGCGCCGTCTGCTGCTCTTTGCATGGAGAATAAGGGACATCAGAGGGACCACTGCCCTCTCCCTGCTGCAGCATGATGCTGGGTGGTGGGACAAAGCAAGGTTTCTGGCCCAGCACTGCTCTTCTCCCTGATGCTGCATTTCACAACATGAATGTACTCTTCCTATCTTCTGCTTCAAGATGAGAAACCCTGTCCAGGTTTGAAGTACTCCTCCTGATCCTTCAGCGGGGAAATGAACTTCCCTTAGGAGTGCAGGTAGCATCAGTGGATCACCCAGCAGATGTGCTCACATGCAGAGGCTAAATCCCAACATGAAAATTGAGCTTGTATTTTAAATATTCATCCAGGGTTCTAAAGAAAATGGAAATAGAGTTAGCCTTTGATTCAGTTGTAAGGCTGAGCTTCTTGAAAGTTATTTCAAGGATTTCCTCTTACACAGTTACAGTAAATACCTGCTTTCAATATTCACGGTCTGTTTTTGCTGCTGTGTGCAATGTTTCTTATCTTCTTTTGTCTTTTCCTGTCAGGAGACTTCAAGCACCTAATTCTGTTCTGACTTTGATTTCTCAAATAGAAGTATGCATCTCAGCCATGTCTGAGGAGCAATATACCACCTCACCTGTCAACAGCAAGAAATCACTGTAATTACAAGAAAGTACCACTTTATACCACTTACTTTACTACAACTTAGGGATAAACTTGAAGTTCTCAGATAAGTTTAAGCTTACCTTTGTTCATACCTTTGTCACGGGAAGCCAAGATCTGAAGTCCACCGAGGCCAATTAGGTGGTTATTGACTTGGAGCACTTTGAAACATCTCCACAAAAAGCACCATTAGCCCAAGTGACCCAAGCACCCCTCCTGTCTGCATGTGTTCAATGATCTGTCAGCATTGCTCTGAAGATGTGAGTTTAACTTTGCTCATTTTCTCCTAGGTGAAGAAGAGATAATGCTGTATTTGTTTTTAGATGTAGTATACCTGCATTATTACAAAATACCTCTCTCATTTCACACAGTTGTGAAGTAAAGGAAATGGAGCACTGCCAAACACTCCGAAGTTTTTTGCCCCTTATTGGTAAAATGAGAGAAGAAATAATCCATTTTATGTTTTACCATGTTTGCTTATGATCTGATTTAGTGCTCCTCCTTCATGGCTGATTATTTTAAAATAAATCTAGTTCTAGTTCTAAAAACATATGAATAAAACATATCCATGTATAGCATGTATGCCAGGTGTGTGCAGATATCCACACAATTGAACACTTTGGATTTTAATTAACTATGGGAATGGATATGCCGATTACATGAAAAAGCAATGAAATGTTAATCAGATAAAGCAAGACAGCAGGTGGCCAAGATATCAGTAGGCACATATCTTATATGTGTACATCTCTCTGCAAACAGGAAGGTCACTTTCATGACATCACTAGATGTACTATGCCACCAAAACAGCCAAAGTCACCAAAATGTCACCATGCAATGCTCTTTTAGCAAGAGTATTTGCATTTACTACTTGTCCTGCTTTTCCTTCTGGAAACATACTTTCCAGTCATGTTGGTGAAGCTTTTTTCTGCTTCATGTGGGCAACAGTGAAGTCCTGTAGGTCAAAAAAAATGACCAACCCCCACAGCAGAATTTAAGCTCCTTCTCACCCCATTATAACATGTTAAAGAAATCTTGCAGCTTTCATTTCTCTGTTTTCCTTTGGGGAATCAGGAACATTAAGAGACACTGTTGTATCCTCTCCTGGACCTTCGGGGCTTGCTTGCTGCTTAATTCTGCTTCCAAAAGCTGTCTGTGGTTACGGAAACAAATGTGCAATCTGCACATGGCAAAGTCAAATAAAAATGTGGCGTTTCTTACTTCAGAAGTGGATATTGCCTTGACTACTTACTTACTGTAAGTGTTTGGATGATGGTACAAGCACAGTGCCTTCATCAGCATCTTCTGAGATCCAAGCCCTGGCTCTGCAGGGAGGCCAGGCCTCTTTGTCACGATGCACCTCTTGGTGCCCTCTCAGCCCCTGGGTGTTGACCTTCACACAAACTGAAATATCTTCTCAGTGATGTTTTGGATTTCAGGGCCTTTCCTGTGTGGTATTTTGCTGAAGAGTGGAGTCTGGAGAGAGACAGGCTTTGTTCTTCTCCTGCAAGCTGAGCTCTCCTCCCATTTCCCCTCACAGATCCCTTTGCAGGATATGTTTTTATTGCACCCTCGCTCTCTTCGGTTCATGCAGAGTTGTTCATTTCCTGACTGTACGTGACCAGATGCGTGGCTGTTGTTAGTGGTGTAAATCCTCAGCCTTCAGCTGAACCAAAAATCAGCTTGTGGTGTTTGATGTGCTGTGCTAATGGGACAGGACTGTTTTGAGACTTCTGATTTGCACGAAGCCAAACACTTCATCTGTGCCTCTAGGAAATAACAATAATTCATTAACATCACGACCCCATGTTTCTTTTTAAACACAGATGTTATTTGATGCGGAGCTCAAGGTTGGTTCTAGAAATATATTTTTTGTTCTTTTCCTTTACAAGATTATGTGTCTCCTTGAGTCTTTTTTCTATTCAAGCAGCAAAGGTGGTTCTGATATCAGCTACAGGGGTGAGGCGTAATGTGGATGGCTGTGAAATCCCCCTTGACAGCTACAGCCAAAGTGAAAATAGCTTACAAACAACAGACAGAAATATTTCCTCACATATAGACTGCTTCTGTTTTGTAATTGTCACTGATAAACCCAAACACTTCAAACAGATACAGGGCTCTTGAGTGACAGAAATTCTTCCCTAGAATCTTTCAAAATTCACACTATAAAAGCCAGGTCCCCTGGAGAATACAACCAGGAGAGCAATCAGAAACAGAGTTGCACTACCAAAGGTCAACAAAATCCAAAATAACAGCCTTTGGAGGCAGACTGTTCCCCAGTTGGCTGGGGAATGGTGAGGTGTTTGTGTGAAAGAGAGAATGGGGGAAAATACCATTGTCAAAGGAGAAGAGCTCTAAAGAAACATGGCAGGGATTTTGTTCCCATTAGTCCTAGTTCCTGTGATGTATGACAAGAGTGGGTATAGAAAACAGAAGGAAACACGCTGATAATAAGGGTATTTTTCTAGAACTGTTAGAAATAGTTAATGTGTCTTGTTTTTTGTGGTCTCACATCCTATTGAGGGGAATTGAGGATGACATCCAAGAGGTGGTAATCTCTGAAAGTGAATCCCGGTCATGAGAGGAACAGCCAGGTAGAGGAGGTATCTCAGTCACTGCAGGAACCTGGACAAAAAAAATTAGTTTAGATGCCTAACTTGCAAGCAGCTGCAGTTCACTGAGATGAATGTTAGTCTTCCTTACAGCCAAAGGCTGATACTTCAGCCTACGGAATTTTGCACAGGGAGCCCCAGCTCCCTCTGAATTAAGTGAGACCATGCACTACAAAGCCAAGATGTCAGTGTTCTCATTAAGATTTGGCTAAAAGTGCTGGTACGTAACTGCATCTATTTTAGCACAAAGCTTTAGATGTTTTTATCCTGCTTGAGCAATCCCTACAGAATCAGCTTTTCTGGAACATGAAACCCTATTGGACTGTGTAAACAAGCTACATTCAGCTGAATGCAAAGCCTCACTACACTTTCAATTTCTGTAAATTATGCAAAGATATAAATGATGAGTAAATCAGTGAGCTAGATCAGAGGCTGATTCATTCATGTATTGATTCATGCATGGTTTATCTTCATGCCTTGCAGAAAAAAACAATTAAAATGGTTACACTGAGCTATAAAACTTGAAAATGGTGTTGAAGGGGGAAGTGTGATCTTCTGCTTGAAGACTGGCAGAGGAAACCATAGGTTGTGTATTAACCATCTTCTAATTTGCATTCCTTTAAATGTTTATCAGCTGTGTGTAACCAAACTGGGAAAAATAATTAGCTTGAAATCTAGTGGAAATTCACTTCATATTTTAATACTTCTATGTCATGTGTTTGTTCAATACCCTTTCTTATCCTGGCCTCAAAAATTAAAAAAAAAGAAAAAGATATTTATGTTTTGAAATCTTTGTGACAGCAGAAATAATAATAGTAAGAATTAATTGTGATTTGGGAGTGTGGTCAAGCATATTTGGTATGAATTTGCATTAGAGGTTGTAGATAAACAAGTGGGAAAACCAGGGAAATAAGACATTCAGTTTTCCAAAAAGGACAAAGAAAATAAATCTTCAGCCAATCAGGATGTAGGAATGACACAATTTTCTTCACTGTGTGGGTGAGTAAACCATAATTCTGCTCTCTCATCATCTGTGATGATAAAATGTTGTAGTTATAGAAAGGGTAATTATTGTTATTTTATCTTAAGAAGCTTTCAAGAAACAAAATATATCACATCAACATACTTTATATATAGGCAGTTTCTGGGATCACATACTGTTTATCTGTAAGCTTAAACATAAATAAAGTTCATTTACACAAAAGCAAACCATGTAATGAATCTGCTCTTGATTCTTTCAGCTTCTATTTTCATTAGCTAACGCAGACTCTGAGTAAACCGTATGTTGTTTGTCATTAAGCATGCTTTAGTCATCTGCCATTTTTGCATTTTTTTGATTGGCTGCTGCTAAGGGAAGGGAAAGCTCTGTAGTGGTTGTACATAAGACAAATAACTCCGACACTGTGCTGTGGAAAGTTATGCTTTCATATAGTTTCATCTTCACCACCCCCATGTTATTAACTTCTTCTCTTTAGCAGAATAGTTTTAAGCACAGCATTAGCAACACTTACTTTTATGTACAGAGTTTTGAATTCATAGGTTGGCTGTCAGCATAACTCTCTACACCTGGGGTGGTTATAACCCAGTATGTCAAGGTATAGAAGTTGTTCAAATTGCATGTAACAGATTTCAAAAAATTTGACTGCCAAAACTGATTCAAACAGAAAATTTTATTTTCAAAGGCAGAAGACAGGTAAAGCCAGGTTTAAAATACTAATGCTTTCCCCACCTGTCCTTTCTTGTTTGTTTGTTTTATCTGATTACAGATGAGAACACAAGGCTAAACTTGATTCAGAATTGCACAGGGAACTCTGACTCCTTTCAGCCCTCAGCAGCAAGGCAGACTCACAAATGCCATCCCTTGTTGATGTTTGAAATGGAAGCCTCTCATGCCAGCTGAAGTATGAGAAATCTTTTTAAAAAGCCCTAAGGAGCTTTTCAAAATGCTGCCTATCCACGCTCCATGCCTGTACAAATTTTTGATGGACAAGGAACGCATAATGTCTTTTCACCTAACTTAGCAAACATTGTATAAACAGTCTATATGCCAACAGTTGGTTCTGTTTTATCACTCTTAGGAAAAGTAAAAATGACACAGTGGCATCACTTCCTCCCTCTGCAGCATGGCTTCCAGTAGTACGTGCTCTGCAAACACACTTGAAAACCATCACTTTGCCTTTTAATGATATAATGCAAAATATATACCTGCCAAAATACTAGATAAGGTCAAGTAAGAATATTCCCCTTCCACACTTAACCTTTTTTCCTCAATTTTCAGAGGAAAATATTCTGCAGTGAGCAGTTGTGCAAATTTCCCATATAAGAGAAAGAAAATAAAATGCCTAAAAAGCAGAAAATTGAAGCGCTAAAACTTTGATCCTGGATTTGAAGCTAATCTATGCAATTAGCAGTGCTTTTGGTCACAAAAGGAAGAGTCACAGGAAGAAAGGATAGCATAGAGCACAAAGAAGAAATCGGGAAAAACAGAAAATGATGCTTCAATCATCTTCACAGCCACACAAATTTTTCCTAAAGAGTAAACAAAGATGAAAAAATATGAGGGAAAGAAGAACAGCAGCAAGCAAACTGCAAACAATTCTGAACAATTTCCTCCAGGTTATCTCACTGTAGGCAAAATTTAACACTATCACATCAGGGAAGCAATGTTCAAAGGATGGGTTCTCAGTGTGCAAGAGCCATTATTTGGTTTCCAGCTGTATACTTTGTTTATTAACTTCTTCCTGTCTTGACAGGTTGCTTACAGCTCCAGGAGAGTATTCAATGGCTATTTGTTAATGGTTATGGTTCCCATAACCTTGAAGAACTTCTTAGACCTGGCAGACTTAGTGCATGGATTAATTGCTGTTAGATAAGGAGGTGGTTTAATGCATCTTCTCTGATGGAGCAGACACATTCACATGAAGTGAAGCACCTGTGCGATTATCCATAGGTACCAGTAATCTTTCCAAGAGCCTTGCAAGAATCGCCTTTAAGAAACCATTGGGCAGTCTTGAAACCTTTGCCAGTCCTGCCTTACAGCCACTGGCTTCTTAGTGCATGGTGGATAGGTAAAGTCTCAGGGTCCTGGGCTCAGACACACACTTTGCAACAGCTTTGTTCTACGTGTCATGTAAGGGTATTACAGACTGTTACCAGCTTGAACTCATTGTGCAAAGCAGAGATCTCCATTGTCACACTTTTTTCCTCTCTTAATAAAAGATGAAACACCTACATGGATATTTTTAAAAAATATTTGGAAGAGCACAGCTGATATGTATTGATGATGGCTCACAGAGAGCTCGGATTCTCAGTGAGAAGATGTCTGTGACATTTTTTTGGTGAACACTTAGTTGGAGACTTTTATCCCCAAACTGAAAGGATGCTTAAACTGGAGCTGAAAACTATCCCAACTTGTGAGACTGCCAGCTGTGACTACCTAAATGGGGTAGAAATTAAAGAAGGGCTATTTATTTATTTGTTTAGACTGAATTTTATGAATGATTTCTGATTTTCCTATCCACATAGTCTTTTAGCAAGGATGCATTCTCTAAGTTTTCTTAAAAGTTTTATTGAAATGTATACAAAGTGAAAACATGGATGTCTTATTTAAAAGTATATGCAAATGGAGCGGACAGCTGTGTACCTGTCTTGTTTAGCATAAAATGGCCATTATAACTTTCTCTTTTATGACTTTTACAGGTTAAAAAAAAAGGCCTTTTCTTTAGAATCATAGAATGGCCTGGATTGAAAAGGACCGCAAAGATCATCTTGTTTCAACCCCCTGATATGTGCAGGGTTGCTAACCACCAGACCAGGCTGTCTAGAGCCAGGTCCTTGAGCACAACATTCTTGGGCAACCTGTTCCAGTGTGTCACCACCCTCTGTGTGAAAAACTTCTTCCTAATATCTAATCTAAAACTCCCCTGTCTCAGTTGAGTCTTAACTTGATTACTAAAAATATATTGGTTTAAATGAAAGATATTGTTGTTTGAATCTGTGCAATGATGAATAAATGTCTACAATAAATTCTTTATGATATAGTTCTTCATTAATTTATTGTTTGGTATTCTGTAGTATACTGCTAGGCTGAGCATCATTGAAGGTAAGTAATACCTCATTTACAAAAAAAAAAACCAAAAACCAGAACTACTATGGTGTTCCAAACATTTCCCAGTTGTTGGTATTAATTTTGTAATGTCCTGTTTTATTAGAATATACTTTTGGAAAAAAAGATTTTTTGAATGCTGTCCTTGGGCAAATCATAGTTTCTGACACTTTGACTGCTACCAAAATTGCATAGTCACAGTATGCTGACTGTCTGTTCCTTAATGTTTTCATAAAGAACACAGCAAATGCTCTGTCTGTAGCTCTTCAGTGGGAATTACCATGCTGGAGAACTGCATCTTATTTTAGTGGCTTTGGGGACTTGCTGCCAGCAGCAAGGAGCAGGTCCAGGCTACTTCCTGACTTTGCTCAGGAGTGGCTTGAAATATGCCCACGTCGTGGTCATGAGGGGATACATTTGTCAAAATGGTCTTTTGCAAGTTGTCCCCTGTGAGAAAGAGATGTGTTGGACAGAGGTAACACAGGGTGAGAGGCTCTTACCAGCTACTCATGACTCATGCAGGGTAATGGGTAGACAGAGCTATCTACTGTGGCTGCTTCTTGGCTGGTAGATCTTCTTTCCATAGTTGATAACATAATTTAGTCCTTTGCATTTCTAATGCCAGCTTAGTTCTGTATTGTACTTGTGATGTTTCACAGCTTGCCAGTAAAGGCTCTGTGATCCCCTATCCAGTGCTGTGAAGCTAATTAATCCTGTAATTTAAGGTTTTGTGACAGTTCTCTGCTGGTGTTAGAAATGAGAATTGGCTTTTCTGACAGCAGATTGCAGGATGCATAGAGTAGGAGGAAATAGTCTCCAGATTTCCAAAGGCAAATTAGGATACCCAGAGATGGAAATCTGGACATGAATCCAGTTCAAAGCACATTTAGATATTCATCCATCATTCAGCCAAAGGACTGAAGTGTGCCTTCAGTGGCATTCCTTTGATCTTGGTGAAATCATGGAGGCTTGAGGTTACTTGGGTTATTTATGCATACTATCTATTGAAAAATGGATGAAACAGATGGCATTTGAACTTTCTCATAAATTTAATCATAACTCAGAGCTTCCTGGCTTAAAACAGTTATTTCTGCTTAAGTGGACCAATCTGAACCAGGCTTTTTGCCATAATGTGACTTATCTGTGCTAATGAGTTGCAACTTAATGAAATTTGTTACCTACAATAAAATCAGTCATTGAAGAAAATATAACACTCTCTTTTTGAAATGGTATTTCTCAATGTGTTTTTGTTTGTTTTCTTTTATAAATTGTTTAATTGACATTTTACTTCTAACTCGACCGGAATCTGATTGCAAAGAAATCAGTGGACTGTTCCCGACTAAACCAATTGACCCATTATATTGGTTCTGAATGAGACAACTTGGAAGTTTGGTGGTGCTTGACAAGCAATGGAAAGGTCCTTAGCATTCTGGGATGCCTGAATCAGACTGAGCTACCAAATCAGGCACAGATTCAGCAGCCATGTGGGGATGTCTTGGCTACAGCTGCTGAGGATGGAGTCATGCAGTGACTCTGCTGCATGAACACCTAACACGCTCTGGCACCAACGTGATACAGCAGAGCCAATCTGGCCCCCAGAATCTGATACTAATCTCACATAGTGCCTTTATTCCTTTGTTACCTTGCGGGAAGTAAAACGAGCATGGGCTGCACTGGCCAATATGTGCTGGGTTATTGACCAGATACGTAGAGTTCTGGATTTTTTGTAGTTGGCTCAGATTAGGGGCATTGTCTGGAATAAGAAAGAAAATGTTTTCATTACAAGCTGCAGTCCCTGTCAGCATGATCCTTTGCATTGCTCTGAGTCAGGTAATGCCTGAGAGTAGCATATGTTATCTCCTCTGCTCTTAACCTATGGAGATTATTCTCTTCATTATTTCTAAAATTACTTACAAGAGAATCAGAAACATTAAAACTGAAGCTTAAGAGCTGTTTGCTTTCACCTCTCCTCCCTACTTGTGTTTATTTAATGGATAGTCAACAAATAACAGGCAGCAACAGAGCATGGACAGGGCGATCAGCTGGGAAAAAGAAAAGCCTGCTGCCTACTTCCACTGCCTCTGGCAGCAAAAAAAAAAAGTGTGTGAAACGTCTGGTTCAGTGTAAGCTGAGATACTACATCATAGCAGAAGGATATGTTTCATATATGGCTAATTTATATGGACTAGAAGGAATAACAAAATATTTTCGTCTTTGGAGAAGATGGCAATCAGTTAATGGAGCAGGGTGTAATCTCATTTCACATGTGAATTCTTGGCACGTCAAGAAAGGGCATTCCAGAAAGACTAACTTTAGCTAAGGGCTAAACTCCAGTGGGAAAAAAAGAAGCTTTTCTAGGGACAGTTTGAAGAGGCTTCTAATTTGGGTGCTCTGAACCTTGTACTGGGGATGGCAGGCTCTCCCCTGGCAAAGCAGAAAGCCCAGCACAACCAGTGCTGTGTGCCTTCAGCCAGCCTCTGGGGAGACCCTACTATGGCTGTTGTCCTGAGCCTATGCACATTTGATACAACAGTTGGTGCCTGCGTCAAAGTCTTTACAGTTTGCTGTGCATTTCAGCAGCAATTGTATTTAAGGTATGTAAATAATGGTGTCAGAACAATGAACCAGCAACACTTCCTAGAAATACAGCAGAGAACACAATTCTGGCATAAGCCTTTTATTTTTAAGTTTTCAGTGAGATTTTTTTTCCTTTTCTATTTTAAAACAGCTTCCAAACAGCAACTCATGCCAGGAAAAACAGAGCCATTCTCTCAATGACAACAATGCTCATTGTGTTTTCTGTAACAGATGCCAGGATTTTATCACCAGGCCAGACATTAACCCCCTTGGTATCATTCTGAAAGGAAGCATCCGTACACCCCACTGACTTCTATTCCCTCTGGTGCTTCATTATGCCTCCTACCCTTAAATCTTCATGCGTACTTCCTTGCCTAATACATTAAGAAGATCTACAGAGTTGACCTCACTTTTTTCCTCTCCTTTTGAAAAGGAGAATTTGTGCCTTCTGGTTTCCCACCAAACACATACAAGAAAAAAAAAGAACTACAGCTTGGCTATTTTTTCTTTTTTTCTTCTAAAGAAAAAGAAAATGTTTGGATAAGCAAGGCTTAAAAAGTGTTCTGTTCACAGGGGAAGACTCTTTCCACAGGAGTATCCATTCAAATGATACCTCTTCGAGCCAACAGATTTCAACACATGGAAATCTGAGACCAGCAATTATATATTTATGATATGGAAAAGCTCAGTGGAAGTGGTCCCAACATCCCTTCTACGTATAAGATACTGTAGTCATTCATTCTCACACAGATGTGCAAGGAAAGCCTCTTTTGAGCCCCTGAGCATCATAGCAAAGAAGAGAGGCTGATCCTTAACTGCCAGCGGATTTCAGTGAGAGGGATGTGTTTCATTGAGCACATATTTCTCTGTGCACTTGGCAGTAATGGTCCTCTATAGGTCCAATTCTAAAAACACTTCAATGAAACACACAGCTAACACTGTTCCTCTGAGGGGAATTATTTGACATACAACAGTGTCAGTCAACAATGCTAAAGCATTTGCTTAAGACAAACTTCTCCTGCAATGCCCCAGTCAGTTTTAGTTACAAAAGGCAAAAGGTTGTCATCTTTAGTTCTAATTATTACTGTGTTCTCATATGGTCTTTTCTTTTAGATTTCAAAAAGATGGCTTGGACAAATCATGGCTTGGACAAATCAGATTTATTAGTGTTTTTGAAGGGAAAGATGTGTCTTTTGAATAAAACTATATATATATGTGTATATATATATATATATATATATTACTAGAAAAACTTTGTCTTTTGAATACTGGAAAAGTAAGAGCGGATTCTGTAGAGGCATTTACCATTATTCATATTTGAGACTGTTGAGGACAGCTAGAATCTCCTCTTTGCTGTACCTCTAAAAAGAGAAAGATAAAACAAGAGAAAATTGGATGAAGCTGAAACATTTTCATTTCATTCCACAAGAATAAAACCAAGTGCAACACAGCATTAGCCCTGGGAACTCAGAGTCACAGGATATTATGTTGAAGGACTGTAATCATTAGGATTCGGAGAGGAAGGTTCAGAAATAAAAATATCATTTGCAGTCACTCTGGGTAGGATAACAATTATCTCTCCTCATACTTCAATATATGAGTTGATTACTGGCTGGGGAAAGTTTTAAATTTCCCCTAGAGCAGTAGTGTTACACAATTGTCAAGTACACCACAGGGAATTCAATGTTTTCCTCTGGAACATCTGCCATAAAGCATTGCCTGAGAAAGGACATGGAACCAGGCAAATCACCAATCTATTCCAGTGTTAATAAATCCCAAAATAATTTCAGCGGGATAATGTATACTACCTCTCTGCAAAAACTCAGAATGAGAGGGGCAAGATGTGGTTGTGTATTGTGTGGAATGGTGTGGGTGTTTGAAAGGATGCAGGAGGATGTTTTGAAGTACTGTATTTGACTTTTTAAAAATTAATCAGAAGATAATTTGGTCTTGTTTCAGGCATACGTATATTAATCTGTCAGGTCAATATAGAAATACAGACCTGCTGTGTTGAGGAAAAAGAAGAAAAGATTTTAGAAATGAATAATTAAAACAGTAATATAGCCACCTATTTCTAAAAATATATTGATATTGTCACAACTGCTCTTATTACTTCTACTTAGACAGATTGATAGCTGCTTTTATCATCCTTCTAGGTGTCCCATCAAGTTCTGATATATGAGCAGACCTGATAAGAGATGAGAAATGCCACTCCTGGGATCTCCATGGATTATTTTTATGCACAGCTGTTCAATGACAGCCAGTCACAGAGGCTGGAAAGCAGTTTTATTGTTCTGATGGGGCAGCTGCTATTCCTCATCCAACAGCAATGTAGAGAGGGATG